TAATAAAAATATCTTGTGTATGTTAAATCGATAAATGGGTAACCAAGGAATTTTAATCGTAGTTCTAAGTATGGGAGAGCCATGATTCGGCACGAATGGGCAGGCTCAACAAGGTATGAAACCAAAACCGGCGTCAAACAACCTTCACGCTGTGTTTTGCCGTATGACTGAGGTTACCGGAGGCTCCATCAAAAACCTTTGGCATAACGAGTGTCCATTGGCAGCGGCGGCTGCTTACCATCAGGTAATAATTCTGCACGCTTGACGACCGTACCATAAATATGCCATACTAGCTACTCCCGCGCGGTTTCAACCGCTGTTCAGCTCCATTTGATCGTAGCGTAATGTTTTATAGCCTATAGCACTCAGGAACATTGTAGCTATCTATCAGTGAAAGAATTTTGACAATCCGATCAACGGTTCCAGTGATAACCTCCTACATACAAACTTACAAATTTTACCTCTTTATAATATTAGTTAGATTGTATGGTTCGAAAAAAAAGGTCAAAAAAAGTTTAGCAATACCGTTTTTATTTCTAAAGAGAAACGTTGGAGTTTCTTGCTCGTTCTTCTCCATTCGAATCTACAATTTGTAACGAGCAGTAAGCTTCACTGACGGCTCAAAACTAGGGCCGAATTGAGAACTCCCTTCTTACTTAAAGTGGCTTAAAATAAATGTTTATGCCGTTCGTCACGTAGCCACAGAACGGAGAAGAGTTTAAACCAATGTGCAAACAATTTTATTACGTAGGTAGCTTATCAGTTGTCACATATACTGACAAACCACAACGGTAAACAAAATTACGCAGACACAACTTGTGTAAAGATAACAATCTGCTGTGTCAAACTCCCGTGCACCAGTATCTACTGCAGATAAATGTGGAAGACCTATGCTTCGACACAAATAGGTCGGCTCGACCGGAGACCTCACAGAAAACCGGCGTGAAACAACACTACGTTGTGTTTCGCTATGTAAGCGAGGTTTCCGGAAGCCCAATCCTTTCATTGATTGCTTACCACCAGGCAACGCGAATGTTCGTTTGCCGAATTTTGACATAAAAAAAAATACAACCATGAAACACTGAAACCCTGAATTCCAGCGCGATTCAGATACTGATGAACCCGGAACGAAATACTTAAATCATTATTTGAGAAGGATGAAAAACGAAATAGCTATGTAGTGGTGTCTAAATAAACATTGAAAGTACCTACCTACACATAGCTTGAAAAAAGTCACATTGGTACTTGCTAGGTTTCGGACCCTCATGCGTGAGAAGCACGAAGCGAGCAATAAACCTGGGCCTTTAATATGTAGTATTTCAGTAATCTCTTATGATGAGCACAGTCATCTAATTAAATATGTTAATAGCAATTCGTATCAGGAATATCGTATTAAAACATTCAACGATATCGTATCAATTATCACCACATCCGAATTGAAATATTATTGATAAATAATTTCGAAAATTATCTCTGCGTCATCGGTTTTGGAGTCTCGAATGTTATTCTAGGAATTTTTAATCGATTGATGATAAAAGTTTCGAAATGCTTTTGCCAAATTCTCCTGCTCAACCTTAGGAGTATGTTACATAGTAACGCCTTCAGTCAGGGTTGTGAGCTACAGACGGGGCCCTATAGGGCTGATGTTCAGCCGGGGTTGCGGGGGCCTCAGCCAAGAGCAGGAGAAGGAACGGTTCAGTCAGTCAGTAAGAGTCTGACACTCCCTCTCGCCTCAACCTGGGCGAAAGGAGACATTGGATGATTTTCCCTTGAGTGCAAGCCGTGCAAGCGCAGTAAGGTACCGCGCAACTCAGCCCGCAGCATAAGAAGGAACGGAGTGATTTTTAGTCAGATAAACATACTGACTACTCCACTAGCCACATCCAGGGCGAGAGAACTCATATGACGATTTCTCACTACCTTCTAAGGCCTGCCTCATAAAATTCTACTCCTCAACAATTAAATTTACATCAAGAATTTGCTATACGTTTTCCAAGTAACTTATTTGTTAAGAAATTTTTGTTTCAATACTTTTTTCTATAAAAAACACCTTCTAAGGCTTACTTAGTTACCACTAAATAGGAATATGGCCTTATGTTTTTTACTGCGTGAAATTGGAATATTATGTACGGCTTAATATCAAACCATAAATGAGATCGATAAGCTACCAGATATGATGAGATATGTGACAATAAATTGAGGAGAGCATACTCTCATGAACCGAGTCCGTGTGTCGCCTGGACAGTCAACCTCGCTACATCCTTGTTGACTGGACATCTACACTACATGAGCTGCTGTTTACATGTGAACATTAGTTCATGACGATACCTAAGTACGTGTGTCGCCTGGACAGTCAACCTCGCTACATCCTTGTTGACTGGACATCTACACTACATGAGCTGCTGTTTACATGTGAACATTAGTTCATGACGATACCTAAGTACGTGTGTCGCCTGGACAGTCAACCTCGCTATATCCTTGTTGACTGGACATCTACACTACATGAGCTGCTGTTTACATGTGAACATTAGCTCATGACGATACCTAAGTACGTGTGTCGCCTGGACAGTCAACCTCGCTACATCCTTGTTGACTGGACATCTACACTACATGAGCTGCTGTTTACATGTGAACATTAGTTCATGACGATACCTAAGTACGTGTGTCGCCTGGACAGTCAACCTCGCTATATCCTTGTTGACTGGACATCTACACTACATGAGCTGCTGTTTACATGTGAACATTAGCTCATGACGATACCTAAGTACGTATGTCGCCTGGACAGTCAACCTCGCTACATCCTTGTTAACTGGACATCTACACTACATGAGCTGCTGTTTACATGTGAACATTAGCTCATGACGATACCTAAGTACGTGTGTCGCCTGGACAGTCAACCTCGCTACATCCTTGTTGACTGGACATCTACACTACATGAGCTGCTGTTTACATGTGAACATTAGCTCGTGACGATACCTAAGTACGTATGTCGCCTGGACAGTCAACCTCGCTACATCCTTGTTAACTGGACATCTACACTACATGAGCTGCTGTTTACATGTGAACATTAGCTCTTGACGATACCTAAGTACGTGTGTCGCCTGGACAGTCAACCTCGATACATCCTTGTTTTTTGACACGTAGTTTACTCCAAGGAATTGTTGACGTTATTTCTATTTGCATATGTGCGATAACGCTTCAGCAAAGTAAATAACCGCAAAATGGTTATACGCAAACTATTTGGGTAGGTCTGATAAGGTTTCTGTAGAGGAAAAACGGTAAATAATAGGCTCGAGGTCTTCCTTATCAATTGTTTGACCTCTAACGATTGGTTAAGAAGGAATAACAACCTATTTTAATAATTAATTATAATCAAACTAATAAAATGGATGCTTGTCTGTGAACCTTGCGAAAAATCGTGGAATACTAAGCCACACTGGAGTTCATAACAGCTGCCATGGTGGGCCCGAGTTTAAGATGCTTCGAAACCTGGCAAGTACCAATGTGACTTTTTCCGAGTTATATATGTACTTTTCTTTGATTATTTAGACACCACTGACATACGGTGAAGGTAAATATCATTAGGAAGTCTGGAATTTCTAACTATACTACATTACGAGTTTGAATTCGCCAATCCGCCTCGAGCAAGCGTGGTAGTTAATGCTCAAACCTTCTAAGTGTGAGAAGAAACCCTGATGATTCTGATGGCACAAAGGCGGAAATTTATACGCAAAAAAAATGCGAAATATAGTAAAATTATCTACACTAGAGATAAATAATGTGTTTGAATAACTACTAAGTATTATTCATCATTCGAAAATAACACAAGTAAATAAGGATAAACAGTACCTATAATATTTATTCTTTCAAAGGTTTATAATATAAATAAGTAAATCTATACTAATATTATAAGGCTGTAGAATTTGTTTGTTTGAATGCGCTACTCTCCGAAACTACTGATTTGAATCGAACAATTCTTTTTGTGTTTGTCAGACCATTTATCGTGGAAGGCTATAGGCTATAAAACATCAGGCTACGGCATGTAGGAGCCGAGCAGCGGGTGAAACCGCGTGACAGTAGCTTAGCTAGTAAGTAATAAGTACAGATTTTATGTTCCCCCAATAACATTTTCTCCAAAGTAATGAAACCCGTTCTTCTCAAAATGACGGCTTCTTGATTATTAAAATAAGTTGTGATTATTGCTATCAGTGTAATCCCATCCTTGACCTTAAATTTTTTGGAGAGAAGGTTTTTTCTTATGTTTTAAAAAATTACATTTCAAGGATCTGTGATGATCTAGTCTATTACTATATTAAGTGGATCTTTACAAACAAGACGAATAAATAGGCATAAGAGGCACGCGAAGCACTATGTTTGCCTAGGACATTCACCAGATTTAGTCAGCTTTTGGCCAGTACTTGATAAACATACTACGACCTTATCCAACCCAGGCATTCGAGAGTTAAAGATGAAGAAAGAAAAATACTAAAGAACTCTTGTATTGATTACCTTATCTGCAGATAATGGAACCAATATAAATGACGCAATTTCAGTAACATTTATCAAATATTTTAGGTATTTCTTTAAAATTTTGATGAGGTAAGAGTAAAAAACTTTAACACCTATCATAAACTACTCAGGTGGGCATCATTAAAAGCCAGCACGGACATTCAATCCAAACTAATATTATAAATGCGAAAGTAACTCTGTCTGTCTGTCTTTCCCTCACGCCTAAACTACTGAACCGATTTCTGTGAAATTTAGTACAGACATCGTTTGAACTCGAGAAAGGACATAATAGTTTTTATACCAAAAATTTGCAGGAAGTCACTATTCCACGCGAAAGGAGTCGCAGGCAAAAGCTAGTAAAATATATTTTAAACACTATAAAACTCTGTCCTAGGGTCCTACTCAAACTTCCGCTTGTACATATCAGACCAAGAAACAGAAGCAACTTCATGAACTACTACAAAACAATGGAAATTTTAAAAAAAACTCACTTTCTTAGCTGGTAATGTTCTTCGTAACTTCTTCTTTCTCTCATCCAGCAGGAGACCACTGGATTTCTTATTCTCCACCTCCGCATGCTCACCGAGATCTACTCTATCACACATTGTCACATTAGCACAGTCCACTTCGTCTTCTCCATCACTTTCTTCAACATACAGGCTGTCGTCCGCCAAATTATTAACACTTTTAGACAACTGAGAAGCTGCCAAAGAGAAATTTCCACAGCCAGAGTCACTCATGTCATCAGAATCACTATCGTACTCCTCCGAATCACTAGAATCTCCAAATACGTCGTTGGATGTGTAACAGCTGTCTGGTGAGTCCTCAAACACAATAAATGAGTCTTCTGATTCACAGTCGGATGTTCTTCGTAACTTAGGACCGTCATTGAACACAATTTGGAACGAATCCTCACTTTCTGGAACGGAACCAGGGTTGAAACGGCCAGAGACTTCATCGAAATAATCTTTGTCTGGTTCTGTGGGTGTTGTAATGTATTTCTCGAAGGAACCAACTGATGGAGAGTTGTCTGGGCTGGCAATTTCATCAATGCAGATCTCGTTTGCGAATTGTAGGTCATCCAGGATGCTCTTCCTCATTTTAGACTTAGTCCGTTTGCCGCAGGTGCGATTGGGATTCTTAAACCTTTTGTCTTTTACTTTAGTATGTGTTTTAGGCTTTGGAAGGTCAATGTGTTCTGTGACCTTTACTGGTTCAGGTTCTGGTACTTGAATTGGTAATTTGGACTTATTTTTCCTTTCCTGCATTAATGCCTTCAGCTTACTAAGCTTGTCTTCACAAGAAGCGACCAACTCTTTCTTTGTTTCATTCAATAAACTAATTTCATTGGCAGTTTCAATTTCAGGTACATTTTTGACAATTTCTGTGGACTCACAGATTTGTGGAAGGACTGCAGTTGTTTTAGAAGGCTCCTTAGGGCTCTCAGGAGCCTTTGCGATTTCTGTTTTGACTTTAGGGGCGTCAACCTCATGGAAAACGTTGTCATGGTAACACACAGGACTGGAGTATTCTAGGTAAGAGTTGTTGGCGATGTTTTCAAAGTCTTCAGGTGAGAAGGCATCTTCGAAACTGTCTTCTACTGAGCTGGCCTCCACAAACACCCGCTTGGGTCGTCTCCGGGCCCAGCTGTTGCAAGGTACAGGCTTCGTGCCGAGAAGGAGGCGGACCTGGTCGAGTTTGCTCTGACAATGGGCCGCCGCCTTCTTACACTCAGTCATTTCTGACGCCGCAAACTCACTAGACTTATCACCCGAACAATTTTCATCCTGAACAATTTTATTTTCATCCAAAACTTTGGCGGCATGCCACATCGTAGGTGCCGCCATCTGGGGGACCGGCGGCGCAACGAAATCAGCTTGTTTCCGCTTACTAAACATTGCGCTGGTAATTACGTTCATGACGCCAGCAAAGAAATTTGTAATGCCTGATAAAGGATTGTAATCAGGTTCGATATGCATGTCTTCTTCTGTTTTCACATCAATTTTGCTATTTAATTTGGATTTAGGCGCCATTTTTTCCTCTGTGATGATCGTATCGGCCAAATTCTTCATCAATGGATCGGGAATAAGATGAAGGTTGTTTGGTACTAAAAAGAGGTCCTCGCCGAACGAGTGTCTCATTTCCTTCTTTGTTTCTGTACTGTAGTTGGCGATGGAGTACGTAGGGCTAAAAACGGCGCGCCTATCGGGGCGATTAGTAGCAAAATTCATCTTTATTTTTCTATTACTGTTTACACTATTTTCTATACACTTGTAAACTAGATCACAGTTAGGGCATTTTCACTCACGCGCACATTGTTGGGATTATACAATCTTGAACAATGTCCGGAGAAGGCCTATGCACGAATCTGCAGCACTTGGTGATGTTTTCGACAGAGTGTAAAGAATTATCTTGAGGGGAAATCCACACGCGTTCACGAAATGAAATCACGTCGGGCGTACACACTGATGTAGATTTAACTCCGCAAATCAACACGTCTGTGTTCGAAAAAATTGTTAAGCACTTGTTTTTGTTGGTAGATTGAACGTTATTAAGCTCCATTATGACGAATATAACTTTAGTACGCGTCTCTATAGTTCAGCCATTTTGTAAGAAATAAAGGAATGACAGATAAAAATATTACTTTTGTTGTCTTTGTTCGAATAGTGATGCGAGTAGAATAAACATCATTCGATTCTAGCTAATCGATTTGGAAACTCGATTCATTGTAAAATGTTTCTTACGTTTATAATTTGTTACTTTTAAGCACATAGTGGTTTTTGCTTACTTTTTATAATAAATATTTGTATAGTAACATCTACTTTATTTCATTCTGAGTATTAAATATTTCAATTCAGATTGCTCATTTATTATTTTTTTGAACTTTATTTTTGTCTCTAGATAACGTGTATTAGACTAAACAAATAGTACATTTTCTTTAGTATACTGTTAATCTTTTTTAAATTCAGAAAAAAATTATTGGTACAGCAATTCATTCATTTCAATATAATTGTTTCAGGAACGTTTTGACAAAACTATAACTTTTAACGTTTTGGAAATAATCTTTACCCCTCGAAGTCTTAGCACTGGGTTTCGAAGTTAAAAATTAGATACACTGTTATTAAAAAAATATTTTAATTAATCGATGCTGTTTTCATACCGAATAGGCAAATATCGATTCTATCAAGGAATAGACAATGTAGAAGTCCTTGAGAAATTTCTGATGCAATAGTATGTTTTCGATGACGCATAGTCTGTTCTCGTTGGTTTACACGAATATTTTGATTGGTGTATAATGACAATAACAAACTACGTCATTGGGTGGAATCCAAGAACTACTTATAATTGGTGTATAGATATAAGGCCACTGCGTAGTGTTGAGAAAAGGGCACTGTACAATGAAATGAAATGATGGCACGTCAAGCTATACTAATCGGCCAATAAACTTTTAACCTTAAAATAAGTTGGCAAGGATTAAAAATGTTGTGCATTCGGATAATTTGATATGCTGACATCGACAACCAGAATGTCCGACGGTAATCTCGAAATTACCAGAACAAAATAATTTTATATTGACATTGTAAAGTAGGTAAATTTGCTTTTAATGTATTGACATGTTGAATTAAATAAAGAAGTCGTACAGTAAAGTATTTTTTATTTATTCATATTCTTACATCACAGTTAAAACACACGCTGCTGATTCACGAACAAAAACTGAAAAGCATTTAAACGCCAAAATATATATTGCTACAACATTTTGATCAGGCGTTTAATAAACAAATGGAATGAATATTGTTTTTATTTAAGTCGCTACTGAATAATTTCCATAAAAACAATATTAATACAAGAACAACATATTTTTTTGTTAGGGAAAGCTGTAAAGTTTTACGTTTTCAAAAATAACACCTTTAAAACGTATCTTTGGTAAAAATTACAGATAAACTATAGGAAAAAACAAAAATGGTAACTATTACTCCTAGAATGTAAGTATAAAACAAGATATAACATCATGCGTTAAACATTTAAACATAGCACCCACTTATCGCAAATTAAATGAAAATCAATAAAATTACAACTACTTATTAACAAACTTAATTTGAATTCTGTGAGTATTAAACTTAAACTTTCTTTAAAATATTAGAAGAGACAAAATGGTGCCGCTATTTGCCGCTAGATGTCCGGATCCACATTTTATAATAACAGCTCGTTTATCTATGCTTATTTTGTTTTTTAAAATGTTGCTGAGCCAGAACTTTACGTTATAACTTAGGTTTCTAGTCCTTTGTCTCAATAACAAATATTATTTTCTATCCACATCTTCTTGTTTAGTTCGTTGCGGGATCTAACTTCTACGATTTTTCAGTGTATTAGTGTTTTTAGGCTAGTTTTCAAGGAGTGACAGAGCATTTAAGAGGCAGTGGCGGGCTTGTTAAAAGAACAAATCTATCTGTAGTAATAGAATTCTCGCTTTCAAGCACTGATGAAGCCTCTGCGGTCTTTTACATGCCTGCCCAGCGTGTACCTACCATCTTGGAGGCCAAAAGGCCCTTGTGTTAAAATACCAAGATTATCATAGTACTTATTAAAAAAAGAGTAAATAAAGAATTATATTTTGTGACTGGAAAAACTTATGTTCAAAACCTCTTCTAATAATTAAACATTAAGAAAACTTTTGTCCTGAGTAGGTATAGATACACCAAAACGATAAAGAAGTATGTTTACATTATCAACGCAAAAACTACTGAGCGGATTTCAATGAAATTTGGCATACGTATAGACATGGAGCTGAATGAACACATAGTATATTATTTATCTCGAAAACACGGGCAGAGCCGTTGGTATAAAGCTAGTTAAATTAGTTATTTAAAACAAATGTATCTACAAAACGATCTAGTAGGTTCTAAAGAGCTATATTCGATATTTCCTCTGCATTTGCTTGGTTCATGAGAGGTAGACTCTTCAGACTGTTGTCCAGGAGTTCCACTGATGATGTGAAGACGTGGGAGTTGCTGTACAGGGTCCAGAGGATGAGGAAGATGAAGAGAAGCTTGAAGAAGCGGTCGGCCATGTAACGACTGAAAAGAAAAAAAATAGATTTACAAAAAGAGGTTTTAATATGTATCCTAGTCTCCTGCTAATATTATAAACTAGCTACTCTCGCGCGGTTTCACCCGCTGCTCAGCTCCTTTGGTCGTAACATGATGTTTTAGCCTATAGCACTCAGGAAAATTGTTGCTATCTATCAGTGAAAGAATTTTGGCAATCCGACCAGTGGTTCCAAAGATTACCCCCTACATACAAACTTACAAACATACAAACTTACAAATTTTACAACTTTATAATATAAGTATAGATGTAAAAGTACGTGAGAATATATGGATGTATGTTTCTTTGTTTTTATTTCATGCAAAAATGCCTGGAGCAATTTGGTATCTACGTAGATAGATGATACCCTTTTTTTGAGAAAGGAAATTCATCCAATGTCTTTTCTCGCCTAAGGAGAGTCAGACTGTTACTGACTAAGAACTCCCCGTCCCTTTTCCTGTTCCTGTGCCCGATCCTCAGTTGCGTCAGCCGTTGCTTCCACTCTACCATAAGATCTCGCCGGAGCTACGAGCGTCAGCGTGTAAACTGTAGACGTGCGAAAGCGCCTTCGCCTCCTGATCCCATGGCGATAATCCAGCAGGAAGCTCGCCGCCTCATATTGGTTAATCACCATCCATCGAGGCCATTTGGTTGGGCCTCGATGGATGTCCAATTGGGATCATTGGGTTGGGCCAATCCATAGCCTCCAACCTTCCAGGTTGAGCGCCAAATGCTGGAAGTGTTCTGCGAATGAAGACTAGAGTCCACCTAGACTGGAACATGTAGAATAATATACTTACATTCGATGCAATTTCCTCGCTCTGGGAAGATTAGCAGGATCCTCATTGCAGCAGAATTTCCTAGTGCCAAGAACGTAGTTCTTCAAATACTCATCAGGGTCCAGGGTTGAGGCATCGGTGTAGAAGACCTCGTTGTCTTCTGGAGTAACGCGGTTCCTTAATCCCTTGTAATTATTGTTTCTGAAGTGCCATTCTTTCGTTGTGTAGTACTGAAGGACGTTTAGGCCATGGCTGATCCGTTTCTGAAGATTGATCATGCTGGAAAAGGTTGAAACTCATTAGCTTTTGTGTGTTTCTGTTTAGAGTGTGGGAGGGCCAAGCTTCGCCTCGACTGGAGTGATATAACGGCATGAAATAACTTCAGCGTTGTGTTTCGCCGTGTGAGTGACGTTACTGAAGGCCCAATCCTTAAATATCTGAAACCCTCATCTCCAAAAGACCGGCAATGTACTCCTGAGTCTTCTGGTGTTGCGGGTGTCTATAGACGGTGCCGATTGCTTACCATCAGGTAATCCATCTGCTCGTTTACCATCCTATCAGATAAAGAAGACAAACATTTTCAATGGTGTATCGAGATCTTGATTGTCTCAAAATCTCGTATACCCTCCACAATCTCTGCGATCCGATATGGTCTGTGAATAATTTGGAATAGGTCATGTGTGCAGAACCACGGGTTGATGGTAGATTGATTTCAGAAATAGTCCAGAAAAGATTTAATTAATAACTGTAATTGGTATTAACTGCACGAGTTAAGTAAGAAAAGTGGAATCAATTTCTTCATAAGTTATAGTTTTTCTGACTAGCCCAAGTTGGCGCTTTAAAGATGACATCAGAAACAGGACCATTATGGTACTTCGACCTGCGGCCACCGTAGGGCGCGGCCTGCGGACGACAGACTCGGGGCGTCTTGTCGTCCGACCAGCAGCAGGCCTCGAGGTAGCAGCGCCGTGTTCCTGCGCTCAGGGTGATGGCCGCAGTGGGTGACAAGGTCTGCCTATCTGGCGGACCAATACCCGTCGGGGGGATGCGACGAATGCTTCGGCGATACCCGCCTCTCCGACACTTGGGTAAATGGAGGAACTAAGAGTCTGAAATTACCCTTCGCCCTTCCCCGAGGGCGGTGGGTCACCATGAGGATTTTCCAACTAGATAGCAAAAAAAACATGGTACTTACAAAGTTTTTTTGCCCAGTAAAAACAGGAGAGCATCGACCAGATACGCTGGAACTAGGTGGCTGAAGAACTTGTCGATTTGATGGGTGATTCTGTAGGACTTGATGCTTCCACCAGGGTACCAAAGCGCCATGGTGTAAGGGAATTCATTCACCCATTTTTCTCCTGTTAAATTAATTAATCTGATGTTAGTGTCATACGATTCCATGATTGACACGTTTGGTTTTTGAGGGGGACAATCTTTATATGACTTCTCGCACTTAGGGTGAGGCGAGAGGGAGTGTCAGACTCTTACTGACTAAAAACAAGCCCGTTCCTTCTTCTGCTGCAGGCTGAGGCCGCGATACCTCCTCCGCCTGAACATCAACTCTGTTGGACGACATCTGTGATGATCATTGCGCAACCAACTGGCTCAATACCTGCCCTAGATCACGTCAAACAAAGCATAAAGATAAAAAGTGTCAGTCTGTCCGTCAGTCCTCTAGTGAAGCTATTCGCTCGTTCCAAAGTGTAGATTCCTATGGAGACGAACGAGCAAGAAACTCCATGGTTACTGTTTCTAACATACAGATTTCTTTGTTACATTAATAATCAGTTAACTTTCGGACAGCCATGCTTCGGCACGAATGGGTCAGTTCGACTGGAGTGATACAACAGCCTCACAGAATACCGTCGTGAAATATCCACAGCGTTGTGTTTCGCCGTGTGAGTCATGTGATCAAAGGCCTTTACCCCATTCTCAACCCTCAAATCACCCATCCTCAAATCCATAATAACCCACAAGAGGTCGGCAACGCACTTGTAGTAACTCCTTCGGTATTGCGAGTGTCCATGGGTGGCGCTGATTGCTTACCATCAGGTTATTCATCTAAAAATTCAGAGCAAGACGGGGTCGCTAGATACACGAATATATTCTTGTCAGTAATTAATGTTAATAACATAATGTTTCTACTTAATTTTTATTTACATACCTAAATCTATTATTTCCTGCCACGTTAAGTTAATTACACCGGACAATGTAAGGTTGTAGACTTGAGTTTCTTTTGGCCTGAAATAAATAAAGAAAACATTATAGTAACAGACATCAATTTTATCAGTGTATGTGAAGTGTGGGAAAGCCAGTGGAAAGATTTCTCGACAAGAGTAATACCACGACCTCACTGAAAATTGACGAGAATCATCCACAACGTTGGGTTTCGTGTAAGTGAGGTTACCGGAGGCCCAATCCCGCCCCCTATCCCTTCCCGATCCTTATTTCCGCAACCCCTATCCCCAAAAGGCCGGCAACGCACTCGTAACTCCTTTAGTGTTGCGGTTGTCCATGGGCGGCGCCGATTGCTTACCATCAGGTAATCTGTCTGCTCATTTGCCGACTTATACCATGAAAAATACAGGTGATTCCTCTGTTAGTTTGCCTCCTAATACATAAATAAATGAAAATTGTAGAACTTGTGTTGTGTTTCGCCGTGTGAGTGAGGTTACCAGAGGCCCAATCCTTCCCCTTCCCCAATCCCTCCTCAATCCCTAATCCCTAAAAGGTCGGCAACGCACTCGTAACTCCTCCGTTGCGAGTGTCCATGGGCGGCGCTGATTGCTTACCATCAGGTAATCCGTCTGCTCGTTCGCCGAGATATTACATAAAAAAAAAAAAACTTACTTGTCCAAACCTGTAACGTAAGCTATCAGAATGCAAGCATTGGCGACAACATCCACTGAAATTGCATCAGCCTTGTATGATGGTTCACAGTGCATCGTCCGAATAACACCTGAAAATATAAAAATAATATTATTTTTTTCGGAATTGGCAGACGCTTGGCCGCTATCACGCCTGGTGGTAAGCGGTGATGCGACCTACGAAGGAGCACGTCTACCCATAAGCAACCTATTCACTCGGGCCTTGAAGACATCCAGGTTATATAATATTTCATATGGCATAATGTTTTGGGGCTATTGGCTATACATATGCGCGACGGTGGCGATGCGTAGCGTTTACAAAATTTGCGCAAGCCGTCAAATAATAACAATGTAAACATTATAATTTTCTTTGCAAATATATATACTTAAATAAAACCAAAGATTAAAACAGTATTGTTGACATTATTTAAGTGCAATTTATTCAATAGTTTTACTGTAAAATGAATATCATAATAAAAACTGATGGCTGATCATCCGCATTTCTTTCCAGTTTCTGCCGTGTTGTGCGCTGCGGTCGTTATCTGTCCGCTACTACTCGCTTTGCAAATAGCCAATAGCAACGCTCATGGGTCACGCAATCAGTTTGTAAAAAGAATTTGACTAATTGACTCTGCTTACAATTTACTTCATTTTTCTTCAAATGCCTTATTTCTCGGATGGGGTGAAAGGGAGTGTCAGACTCTTACTGATTAAAAACCCCCCGTTCCTTCTCCTAGATACATTATTGCGCTTAACCCGCCACCCTAGCTGAAATTTACTTCCATCTAGAACTAATGTTATAATTTTATTATGATGTTACCTTTGCCACTGCCGATGACGATGCCTGTTGGTCCATTCAGGTTGTCCACCCACCCAGGAATGGGTTCTTTCCAAACAGCAGTAACTGTGAACAAATATTAAACATTCGTCCTATAATACCAACCAACCATATGTAACATACATTTATTCAAGTGTGGGAGAGTCATGCTTCGGCACGAGTGTGTCGCCGTGTGAGTGTGGCTATCGAAAGCCCATTTTCTTCCACCCTTCTTAATTCCCAACTCCCTAATCTTCAGCTTAAAGTCCCACAGAAGACCAGTAACTTTTTTGGTGTCGTGGTTGTCCATCTGCGGCATTGATTGCTTATCATCATGTGATTCGTCTCTGAAGAGGTACAAGTGTGTTGCAGGTCTTTTAGGGTAAGGGATTTGAAGATTGGGGACTTGGAGATTGGTGATGGGAGTAGGGATGGTTTGGGATGGTACTTTTATGTGATAGGTCGGCAAACGATCAATTGGTCCGCAACGCACTCGTAACTCTGCTGTTGTGGGTGTCCATGGCCGGCGCTGGAACTTCTTAAGTCAATCAGTCCCTTTTTTTGATTAGGGATTTGGAGGTTTACGGATTGGAGGAGGGGAAGGATTGGGTCTCCGGTAACCTCACTCACACGGCAAAATACAACGGTGTGGTTGTTTCAAGCTAGTTTGTCATTTGGTGACCTTACTCACAGGAAACCAGAAGATAAGAAAAATAGAACCTCAATACATACCTATGGAAGGTCTGGCGATGGCAATGGGGAATTTGCCCGAGTATTCGTTGACCAAATCTTCTGTAATGGCTTTTGTGTAAGAATATGTGTTGGGCTCTGATGATATTATCCTGGAATACAAGAAAAAGGCAAATTGAAGAGAGAGATGTCCAATCAGCAAAACGCATTTGGGATTTGATAAGCTCAACATCGTTAGTAGTTCATGAGCTCGATTCTCGAGTTAAGGTTTCGAAAGAAGGCAAATCCCATTGTGGCTTTTTCCGAGTTCTAAGATTGTTTAGACACCACTGTCAATATAAAAAACATCGTTTATAAACTTTTTTGAAGGGTGTAGTATTTCTCGCCCAGGGTGAGGCCGTGAGGCGAGAGGAAGTGTCAGAATCTTACTGACTAAAAATCATCCTGTTTCTTCTCCTGCTCTAGACTGAGGCCGCGATAGCTTATTGCGCTTATCCCGCATTCCCAAAACAAAACCAGAAACCGTCAGCCCAGTTTGAGCCAGCTTGTTGTATACTCATTCCGTCTTTATGTGAGAAGAGGCCTTTGCTCCAAACGATATACACCAGCCAGGTGATAATTATACCCCCAAATGTACAATATATGACTTGGAAAAATCACATGCGCACTCAATTCTAAGACTTCTATCAACATAATTAGTGACTAGATTAGCTTACTTAGGTTCCAAATAGGCTAAAGTTTCATCATCCATCCACTCCACAATGTCCATGATCTTCCGTGGTTTGTGGACAGCAGTGTACACCTTCTCCTCAAGAACATCTAAATCGCAACGGCAGTATGCTGTTGATAGATGAACAAATACCTGGAAACCAAGTCAATCGAATAAGCCAAAGAGAAAGTCAAAGTCAAGGTCAAGGTCAAAGTCAAAGTCAAAGTCAAAGTCAAAGTCAAAGTCAAAGTCATAGTCGAAGTCAAAACCAAAGTCAAGGCCAAGGTCAAAATCATTTATTTCAACTAAAATAGGTACTTTTGAAACGTCATAATAGAATAATAGTCTATCAGTCAGCGTCAGTGAAACTAGGTGCTCGTTCCAAAATGTGGATTTGAATGTAGAAGAACGAGCAAGAAACTACATAGTTAGATACTCTTTTTTTTAACGACCTCATGAAGTATCTTCCATGCAATCAATGTATCAATAACAAGAATCTGATTGAAAAAGAGTAACCATGGAGTTTCTTGCTCGTTCTTCTCCATTGGAATCTACACTTTGGAACGAGCAAATAGCTTTACTAGTGGACTGCCCGACAGACCGACACTTTCTATTTTGTTTGACGTTCAAAATGTGTCTTAACATTCACGAAATTTTAAATTCAAATAAGTCATGATAAAATCAATTTTGTCGAAAATTTCATATATTTTTTAGTTAATCATCTATCATTGAAATAAATTTTGCAATCCGACCAGCGGTTCCAAAGATTACCCCCTACAAACTTACAAATTTAACCTCTTTATAATCCTTCTTATATTATAAATGCGAAAATTACTGAGAATGTATTCTGTCTGTTTGTTATTCTTTTACGCAAAAACGATTGGACCAATTTATTTATTTATTTATTTATTTATTTATTTATTTATTTATTACACTCTGGAGGACTTACAGCATAATCTAACTAAAAATAGAAGCCAACATAAACTACGGAAAGCCAATTACAAGTTCTCACGTATAGTGACAGACTTAAAAATTAAGAAGTGAGCATAACAATATTTTTACAATGATTACAGCTTATTACACAAGTAAATTGCAAGGATCAATGAGTATTAACAAGAAACCTTTAGTTAAGAAAAGAGAAAAAAAAAATACTAAGTGATGCAATTATTATAGACATTTCCGAAAACTAGGGATACAATCAAAATGCTACTTAAAAAACCTTAGGCTAATACGTCTTCTGGCCGAACTTCGTTGAGATTTGGTATGTAGATAAGAGATACCCTGGATTAACATATAGGTTACTTAATTAACATTCCATTTGAACAAAGCCGCGGGCGGAAGCTAGTATTAGAATAGATAATGAAGTGGATGAGACAGGACTCCGGTGTTTGCTTAGAGATTGAGCGATGGAAACGCGACGAGGGAATGACGTCACAGAGTAATTGGGGAATGACGTCACAGAGTAATTTGTGACCTCTTGGGGATGAGTAGGTGAAATCATTCTTTCTAAACTAGTCTAAACTAATATTATAAATGCGAATGTAGCTCTGTAAGTCTGTCTTGTCTTCACGCCTAAACTACTGAACTGCTTTTTCGAAATTTGGTACTCGTACAGACATACTTTGGAACTCGAGAAAGGACATAGGATAGTTTTTATCACGAAAATCCTGCATGAGCAGGAAATTATCAAAAATCCCTCAAGATGAAGAACCATGTGGGTAAAACCAAAAATCTGCAGGTAGTCACTATTCCAAGAGAACGAAGTCGGGGGCAAAAGCTAGTTTGAAATAAATGATTTGACCTTTACGATTAAGAAGACGTTGACAAAATAAAAGATAAATGCATTGCATGTGGGGTGATAGGATAATGGCGGCTATTATTGGAGACTACAACAGGAGTGATATCACGGCCTCACAGGAAAGCGATGTGAAGAGTGGGAGAGCCATGCTTCGGCATGAATAGGTCGGCTCGACTGGAGTGATACCACGGCCTCAAAGAAAACCGGCGTTAAACAAGCCAGCTTTGTGTTTCGCCATGTGAGTGAGGGTACCGATGGCCCAATCATTCCCTTCCCCCAGTCCCGACCCAATTCCAAAAATCTCAAAATCTTTAAACCCCAAATGGTCGACAACGCACTCGTAACTCCTCCGTTCACAGGTGGCGCTGATTGCTTATCATCAGGCAAAGACAGATTCTTTGCTCGTTTGCCAAAAAAAACAACGCTTGCGATATTATGCGTGAGTGAAAGTATGGATTCCAATCCTTCTACCCTGATCTCTCTTGGTGATCGAACCAAAAAATATATTTTACCCTCAGGTGATCTATCAGTTTGTATGCCGCCCTATCTCATGAAAATGGCATATGTGGGGCAGTAAAAGAAAGACAGTTTTGTCTGACAGGCAGGAATGGAAGAAGAGTATATCGAGGACAAGTAATTTAAGATACAGGTACAAACCTCTAAATTCTGCATAGACTCAGCAAGGGTCAACATCCTCAGAGTACCAGTTGTGTTCATGTTGACTGCATCTTTCAGTTTCTGGTCGAATCTGGAAAGAAATGAACATTATATAAAACAAAACATTAAAGGTGTACTCATTTACGCCTTTGTTGTGTGGTGATGGAGCAAGATGTTCCAAAATTCCCTTGACAGCAATTAGGACCAGTTGGAGAGACGATCTCCGGCCACCTTAAGTGGGAGTCAGCGGACGGCGAGCAAGGTCAGCTCGCTGACCGACCAGAGCCAGACTCAAGCCAAAGGCACGTAGCGTTCCGCGCGCGCTTCTAAGAGCCAATAAACTACCAAAGACGGGGCCCTACAGGGCTGATGGTCAGCCGGGGTTGCAGGCAATGTGGGACCGCAGCCTTCCGCAGTACTCCGTTCCCGACCGAGGCTGCGGTACCTTATTGTGATTGCCCCGGACCGCAACCCCGGCTGAAATAAGGGGTGAATACAAAATCTTTGCAAGACTGGCTTTCGAATGCTTAAGCAAAGTCCTTGATTACTTTTTTCGCATTGCAAGAAAATATGTTAATTACGTGGAGAGACTTATTATGACCCAAAAGTAGATGGGAAAAGGCCATATGGTCGCCGCCCAAAACGTTGGTAGGATTAGATACTGCACTGCTGTAGGTTCCATTATCCCTAATGACATCCACAGCGTTAGCGACAAAATCAGATGGAAGGAGTTCGTGTCAGAGAGAGTGATACAGAATGGTAGTCACGACCCTGAGCAATGCAACGCAAGGAAGAAAAAACAACAAACGTAGAATGTCAAGTTGCTAAAATGGTAGAAGTACTAGAAGAATAGTGAAGGTGGCTTCTTCTCTAAATCACCGACTTATATAGATGGTATTACGAAGTATAATTGTGTGACCACGACATTTTCATAACGCTTATATGTTTTGATCATCATACTATCCAATTCTGAACTAAGAAAATTGCGAAAAACTTATCTTACAAACAACCTTGAAGTATCCCCTTCAATATAAGCATAAACTTACCTCACACAAGCAGCACTGTGGAATATAATATTGCACTCCTTCTGCAGCAATTTCACATCATCTTCTGATATACCAAGTCCAGCCTCTGTTATATCTCCATTAATAATCATCAACTTCTTAAAACTACTAGGATTCTTCTCTCTAACCATATCGAACACCTAAAAGAATAATACAAAAGTTCGTTATAAACAGCAGCTCATGTAGTGTAGATGTCCAGTCAAAAAGGATGTAGCGAGGTTGACTGTCCAGGCGACACACGTACTTAGGTATCGTCATGAGCTAATGTTCACAAGTAAACAGCAGCTCATGTAGTGTAGATGTCCAGTCAACAAGGATGTAGCGAGGTTGACTGTCCAGGCGACACACGTACTTAGGTATCGTCATGAGCTAATGTTCACATGTAAACAGCAGCTCATGTAGTGTAGATGTCCAGTCAACTTACCGGCTTACTGCAAAGGTCTTTAAGTCTCTCTTCAGCACTGACTCCTTTCTTCTGTCGCATCAGTAAGTAGATGGCATTCACTTCTGAGCAGTTTCGAAGTAGTTTTTCCAATAGAGCCTGTAATATAAAGAAAAAATGTCAGACAGAGATTTTCGTCCCCCTGGAAGCGCCAAGACAGGCATCGAACAGTATTCCTTTTCAACCCCCGATGCAGAAAGAAGGGTGTTATAAGTTTGACGTGTCTGTCTGTCTGTCTGTCTGTCTGTCTGTCTGTCTGTCTGTCTGTCTGTCTGTCTATCTGTCTGTCTGTCTGTCTGTGGCATCCTGGAGCCTGAACGGGTGAAGCGATTTCAATTTTGTTTATTTTGTATTACAGGTGTTTTACGGGTGAGTGTTCTTAGACATGTTTGATGCAAATCGATTGAGCCTTTTAAAAGTTATAGGGGGTTAAAGTGGGGCAGAAAAACCGAATGCCTGCAAACATGCTCAAGTGGGGTATCAAATAAAAGGTTATGACAAAAACTTTAATAAGTTTGACGTGTCTGTCTGTGTCTCCCGTTCAGGAACTGGTGAAACGACTTCAATTAGGCTTTTTTTGTATTATATAATTGTTAAAGACAGCTAATGTTTTTTGTATCGGGTTTTTTTTTAATTTTTAATTTATTTAATCACTTAAATTTAAAATGACGACTTTTTCACATAAATTTTCTGTGAAAAGCTCTACAGTACAATAATTTCTCGGTTATTTTATCTGAGTAAGTTATGTTCAAATTTTAATAATTATTTATTTTTGTCTATAAATACTTAACGATTGATCATAAATTTATTTTATGAGGTCATACTTTGAAAATATTGCGTATTTACGTGAGTTGAACAAAAAAATCTAATCGATTTAACTCTGGACTGCGTGTTTGGCGCACTGGCTGGGCAACTGGCTGTTGTACAACGGGTCGCAGGTTCGGTTCCCTCACGGAACAAAACTTTGTATGATCCACAAATTGTTGTTCCGGGTCTGGGAGTCATGAGTATGTGAACTTGTATGCTTGTAAATGCACCCTCGACACAGGAGAAATTTCTAGTGTGGTGCTACACCTTTTTAGTGCAATTTCTATAATAGATGATCTGAGTAGAAAGCTGGTGGCAGTTTCTTCACCCTTCAGCCACTCACATTTCCGTTGTCCCTCTGTTGCTATTACTAGCAACAATTCCCGGGGGCCCGGTCGGTGAGTTGGCGAGTCTCCACCTGCCATTTTTACATACATTACATTGTTTCGGCAGGTGCCATAGTCCTCCCATAGTTCCCATCATACCAGTCCATAACAACCCACGCCCATAGCCTTATCCCTTGTTTCCATTATCCGCAATAGTCCTACACTAACCGGGGACTGTCCTTGGGTTGTTCCATAGTGCATACAGGGATAGTCGCCGGTTTGTGTCCCATTTCAATTAGATTAAAGTTGTCTAAAGGGCCTCTGCGCAGTTGGCTCCGGCCCCTCGTACGCCTTCCAAATGACCGGGACCCTGCGGTCCCGTGATTGGTAAAGACATACATAATTTGCAGAAGTAAGTATGCTAGTCAACTTGTACTTGGAAAAAAGACGCAGACCCACGACTTTTTTTAAATGCTACCTAAGTTTAAATTTTTCTAAATATTTGATAATAAAAAAATCTATTTGGCACGCATTCGCATAGAAATTGCATACTAAATAAAAACTAACACCCGGTTTCCGAAATGCCGATCAATGTTAAAATCAATGTAATCTCTTGTCAAGTCATCTGATTGGTTGACTGAATTATCAACAACCAATCAGATGACTCGGCAAGAGATTTAACAGGAGATTAGTTAATTTTAGCGTTGACAAGCCTTTCAGAAACCGGGTGTTAGTCTGTTTTTGAAAATTTAACCTAAACTACAGCCTTTCAGTCGTGGTAGTTACACATACATCATCATCATCAGCCTATAAGTGCCCACTGCTGAGCAAAAGCCTCTTCTGACATGGAGAGTCTCACTTCTCGCTTGCTCAATGCGGGTTGGCGATTTCAAACTTACAATTAGAAATTATAAGTCCAGGTTTCCTCAAGATGTTTACCTTCACCGTCAGTGGTGTCTAAATAATCATAGAAAGTACATATAACTCGGAAAAAGTCACATTGGTACTTGCCAGGTTTCGAACCCCCCTCATGCATGAGAAGCGGGCTCCTTAACCTCCAGGCCACCACGACATATGTACCACATACATCATAAATAGTAGATAAATCATAACACGATTCAGTCATCCATGACATAATAATCGAACCTGTTTACAAACAGTAATTTTACTTACAACCCGATACTTATACTTTCACCTATCAACACAGTATATTGAGTCAATAACAGGAAAATTGGGATCGAAAAACTTAATAGCACTTTGACCGACTTTGGAAGTGTGTCATATCACGACCATTTCACGGCCTTACTAAAATACGCGCGTGAAACAACTACAGCGTGCAAACGTCTCAGTGCGAGTAAGGTTACTGAAGACGCAATCCTTCCTCTTCCACAATCACTCCTCAATCCAAAAATCCCTTATCCCCAAAAAGGTCGGCAACGCACTCGTAACTCTTTTGATGTTGCGGGTGTCCATGGGCAGCGGCGATTGCTTACCACCAGGTAATCCGTCTGCTCGTTTGCCGACCTATCCCATAAAAAAGTCGTCATTGTCAATATTAGATTAGAACTTGGTACCATTTTGAAACGAATAACGGATATCATCAGCCTATAAGTGCCAACTGCTGAGCTAAGGCCTCCTCTCACACGGAGAAGGTTTGAGCATTAACCACCACGCTTGCTCAAGGTGCATTGGCGATTGCAAACTTTAATTATAATTTATTATAAGTCCAGGTTTCCTTACGATGTTTACCTTCACCGTATGTCAGTGGTGTCTAAATAATTATAGAAAGTACATATAACTTGGAAAAAGTTACATTGGTACTTGCCAGGTTTCCAACCCTCATGCATGAGAAGCTGGGCCTTAAACCACGGTCTACCAAAGGCAAGTAGCTAGTAGTGTGATTCTGTAAGACTTCATTCTAAACTTCGAATCTGAATCCGCTGTGAGTAGTAGTACACTAGCGCTACACTTGCGAGTTGAACTAAGTTGACAGCAACATTTTGATAGATAAAGTATGAGATGACGTTAAAAGTGGCATTCTATAATGTAATTTCCCCGTTACTTCGGCGCTCACTTCGCACTCGAACAAGATTTAAAATCAAACAAATTTTATAATTGACGTGCAGTAGCCCTAGCCAAAAGTTAATTATTATAAGTTTTCCTTACCTTCCCAACGAACCCGGTACCTCCGGTGATAAAAATATTTTTGCCCCGGTAGTACTCTTTTACATTTGGCGCCATTTTAACAACTGGAACAAAAAAATACATTGTTTAATTTAAACAAATGATTTTTTTACTAACTTAAATCCAAAGGTAGACTGGAAGAGAATGCTAATTGCATTAAGTCCGCTTTATGCACAATTTTGAAATGAATTTTGAAAGATTCATCGTCCTCTGAGATCTTCGCGGTGGTTTTTTTTTGTGAGGGGAAAATCATCAAATGACTTCTCCCGCCCAGGGCCGGGCGGGAGGGAATGTCAGACTCTTACTGACTAAAAACCCCCCTGTTCCTTCTCCTGCTATGTGCCGAGGTCGCGGTGCCTCATTGCGCTTACCCCGCAACCCCGGCTAAACATCAGCCCTTTAGGGCCCCGTCTGATCTCCGCGGTGGTGAGAGTTGCGCTGGATCGAAACCGATGGAGGCGGATCATCCGCTCCAGATGTTACCCTAATACTGATCACGATCGTCAGACACGAGGGACCGACTGTAAGAGAAGAATGCACAATTTTTGTTGTACATGAAGTTTTAAATTTAATAAATAAATCCGACACGCACGAAAAGGGTGCCTCCAGTTTTTACCGACTTCAAAATAGGAATATGTGTTGTCGGCTGATTGTTTTTTTTTGTATGTTCACGAATTGTAGCGATTGGCAGCGAATTCAAGATTATAAAATGGTTATTAATATTATTTTCTATTTAACTAAATGAAAACATGTATTAATTTCTACAAAGAAAATTTATTTTTTGCTTTTTAGTTTACTTTTTGAAGTCGAAATATTTTTGTTAAAAATTATATCATCAGAACCGCTAAGAAGTGGAATTCTTTACCGGAGTCTGTGTTCCCCGAAGGGTATAACCTGGGTGTCTTCAAGGCCCGAGTGAATAGGTTGCTTATGGGTAGACGTGCTCCATCGTAGGTCGCATCATCACTTACCTAAAGGCGTGATAGCGGCCAAATACCTGCCATAATTATACTAAACTAGCTATTCTCGCGCGGTTTCACCCGCTACTTGGCTCCATTTAATCGTAGCGTGATGTTTTATACCGAATATTTGTCGAATAAATGTGTTTTCTATTCTTCCTTTCTATTTTATAGCCTATAGCACTAAGGAACATTGTAGCTATCCTGTGTAGCTATCTATCGGTGAAAAAATTTTGGCAATCCGACCAGCGCTTCCAAAGATTACCCCCTATACACAAGCTTACATACATACAAACTTACAAATTTAACCTCTTTATAATATTAGTCTAGATTAAAAAAACTTTTTTTTTTGAGAGGCGAAATCATCAAATGACTTCTCCCGCCCAGGGTCGGGCGGGAGGGAGTGTCAGACTCTTACTGACTAAAAACCTGTTCCTTCTCCTGCTCTGTGCCGAGGTCACGGTGCCTCATTGCGCTTACCCCGTCTGTGGTGGTCTATTGTCTCTTGGAACCGTGGAATAGACATTTGATCGAATGATTAAGCGCGAGCGTCACTTCCATTCGTTCAGTGTTGCTACTGATATCAGATAATTATACTTACATACTATATTTTTTATTATTTTTCTTTCCTCCATTCATATTATGTATTTTGTTTTATAGAAGTATATTATCCATATATGTATTATTAAATTTAATTTTAGTTTCTGCACCGATTGGCGTCAGATGTTAGTTGTCGGCCATCGCTGAAAATCAGCGTTGCTTCACTGTCTCGCATAGTGTCGCTGCATATGCTGAGCGAGGGCCATTTCGTGTGCTCTTTTTTATATTGTACTAGCTCTTACCCGCGGCGTCGCTCCCGTCATTTGACTACCTATCCTACCTACCCTACAGTACCTACCTACCTTACTCTACCTACCTTACTCTACCCACCCTACTCTACCTAACCTACACTACCTACTCTATCCTATGTCTTTCTCCCAGTTCTTACCTACCTCCGTACGAATTTTCAGCCAAATCAGTTCAGCCGTTCTTGAGTTATAAGTAGTGTTACTAACACGACTTTCTTTTATATACATAGATGACCACGTTTTTTTTGTTTTTGTGTTTTAACACTTGTTTGTTCTGTGTCTTATGAATAAATACTTTTTATTTCTTCTTCTTCTTTATTTCTTATTAACAAGCATTAACAAAACAAATAAGTGCTAGAAAAAATGCCTGTAAGAAATTAGAGTTTCAGATATTTAGGTCTTGGAAAGTTTCTATAATTTTGGTCTTAAAAGTTAGTTAGGAAATCCGTGCGGTGTAAACGCTGTGCAACAGGCACCAGAAATATTTACCAGCCCCTTATAAAAAAGCAATTATAAATTACAACGATGCTAGTTACAAACAACTGGTTAATTGTACAACTCAAACTCGGTTACGGTTTAACTATCACAGTTAATTACGTAAACTACGGTTAGTTGTTTTACTGATACGTTGAGTATTATAACTGCAATCTATCGTTAACGCAGTGATTTAATGAATTACAGTAGAAACTGACCAAAGAAATGACTACAACTTGTCTCAACGTGTAACGAAATTTGGTGTACCCCAGGGAAGCGTTCTCGGACCATTATTTTTATAGTATGTTGTATACATAAAATGAGGAAGGCATAAAATAGCGTGGAGAGTAAGCAAATTAACGTTTGTAGAGGCTTGATTTGAGTCCGATTGAAAATGATGACAAACCTCTCCAATGACTGCACTGTTGGTGCGGTGGCTGGGCAATTGACTGCCGTGCAATGTGTCGCGGTTTTAACTCTTACACGGAACAGCTCTTTGTGTTATCCACGAATTGTTGTTCCGGGTCTGGGTGTCATGTGTATGTGAAATTGTATGTTTGCAACCGCACCCACGATACAGGAGAAAATCCTAGGGTGGGGTAACGATTTTTTAAGAAAAAAAATAAAAAGAAACAAAAATTATCGATAACTGAGTATGTGACAGACAGCACACAGCTGTAACTACTGCGTTTAGCAAGCTGTGTGACATGTAGTAGTGCTAGGGAGGAGTAGGACAGCACTTTCATTTGAGGTGAAATCTTCAAATGAATTCTCCCGCCCAGAGCCCCTGTTCCTTATCCTGCTCTAGGCCGAGGCCACGGTGCCTCAGTACGCTTACCTCACAACCCCGGCTAAACATAAGCCCTATAGGGTCCCGTCTGTGGTGGTTTTTTTATTGTGAGGGGAAAATCATCATATGACTTCTCCCGCCCAGGGCTGGACAGGAGGGAGTGTCAGACTCTTACTGACTAAAAACCCCCCTGTTCCTTATCCTGCTCTGGGCCGAGGTCGCGGTGCCTCATTGTGCTTACCCCGCAACCCCGGCTGAACGTAAGCCCTATAGGACCCCGTCTGTGGTGGTCTCTTGGCACTTTGAGGGAAGCGTTGAGAGAGGAATTGTCAATGTTTTTCCTCTAACCTACTTCTTAGCTGTTTTGATAGTAACATCATGCGGTTTAACCTCAAAAGGGTAAACAGATCCATTCACATTTCATCACAATATATGTTATAATGAGTGCTACGCAACACATTGCCGAATACAGTCACAATTACGAAGAGCCATCGTCCAAACATTTTGCCATAGTCTACGAAGTATTAGAAGTTAGGGTCCGCCTACACAGACACGCGATGTGAAGCGACGTTTCGCGCACTCTTTAAAGCGGCTCAAAATACATATCCATTTATATATTGAGGGGTGGATGCAATAAGGCAATGTGGCCTCGGCCTAGATCGCATGCCTGGTATGTTGATGAAAAGTAGCCTTTCTCCTATTCCGGAGTGTATCCTAATCCTGTGCCAAATTTCATACAGATCCGTCCAGCTGTTTCGTGTAATTGAGTAACAAACATCCAAACATCGTAACTTTCGCATTTATAAGTAATATCAGTAAGATAATACAGGTACATAGAACAGTTTCGTGTTTTGAAATTCAAAAAACGAATTTAATTTGATTGGTTTTCAAATACTTTATTGTGACGTAGCGTAGTGTACCGTCGCATCGCTTCGCGTTTCTGTGTGAATCGACCTTAAAGTTTATTTAATAGGTACATTTGTAATACTTTTATACAACACTTAGATGTTAATATAAAGAGTAAATAATCAAATATTGCTTAACCTGTAACATATGCAAGTCTCTAAATATCTTGAGGTCACATTGTCCAAAATGAAGTTGCTACACAGACACAGTTTACCCACTTATTAGGAATTGGCGTCTATTATTTTGTTCACTGTCAATCTGGTAATATGTAATACTAGCTTTTGCCCGCGACTTTCTTCGTGTGGAATAGTGACTTCCTGCAGATTTTTGGTTTAAAAACTATCCTATGTCCTTTCTCGAGTTCTAAACTATGTCTGTACCAAATTTCACACAGTAGTTTAGGTGTGAAGAAAAAACAGACAGACAGACACAGTTACTTTCGCATTTATAATATAGTATTAGCTTCTGCCCGCGTCAAATATTGACTTCCTGCAGATTTTTGGTTTAAAAACTATCCTATGTCCTTTCTCGTGTTCTAAACTATGTCCGTATCACACAAATAGGTTCAGTAGTTTAGGCGTGAAGAAAAGACAAAGACAGACAGACAGAGTTACTTTCGCATTTATAATATTACATCTTTACAAGATCTTGACAAGCTTTTTTATGTAAGTAATAGGACGGTAAAGGAGCTGACGGATTACCTGATGGTAAGCAATCAGCGCCGCCCATGGACACCCGCAACAACATAGGAGTTACGAGTACGTTGCCGTCCTTTTGGGGACTAGGGATTTGGAGATTTAGGCATTGGGGAGTGATTTGGGGAGGGGAAGGATTGTGCCTCCGGTAACCTCACACGGCGAAACACAACGCTGTGGTTGTTTCACGCCGGATTTATGTGAGGCCGTGGTATCACTCCGGTCGAGCCGACCCATTCGTGCCGATGCATGGCTCTCCCACACTTATAATACAATCAACATTACATAAAATTACCTAACCAAATCGCTTAATTAATTAATCACCAATCACCAACACGGAAATCAAATTCACGACCGCCGCGCCGGCCTAGCTATCACAAAACAAAACACAATCATTATAAATGATGTAACTGAAAAAAAAAAACAATATCAACACACCTTGCCATTCAAATATAAACCTTAAAACTTTATTCACAATGTACGTTTTACGTAAATTTATTGTTTCACGTCGATTAACATAGCCATAGGTTCAAATGTGTTAATCAATATTCTTGAAAGGTCATTCGCAGGTTCAAGCTATTTGCAAAAGTTTCTTAAGTACATAATATTAACTTGTATTACTTAGAATGACTGGTAAAAATACTGACCAGTTAATTAGGCAAAGAGGGCAATGAGGTACCGCAGTCTCGGCCAAGAGCAGGAGAAGGAACGGGAAGGGTTTTTAGTCAGTAAGAGTCTGACACTCTCTCTCAGTCCAGGTCGCGAGATTATACATTCGATAATTTTCCCGTCTCAAACAATAAAATAAAATAAAATAAAAATGGTCCCAAGTAATATGATAAATGCGAAAGTAACACTGTCTGTCTGTCTTTTCTTCAAGCCTAAACTACTAAACCTATTTGTGTGAAATTTGGTACAGACATAGTTTGGAACTCGAGAAAGGACATAGGATAGTTTTTATACCAAAAATCTAAAGGAAGTCACTATACCACGCGAACAAAAGCTAGTTAAATGAAATAAAACGAAATAAAAATTCTTAAAATAAGCTTAATTTCTTTCTTTTCTTTAAGTGTGGGAGAGCCATGCTTCGGCACGAATGGGTCGGCTCCACCGAAGTGATACCATGGCCTCACAGAAAACCGGCGTGAACTAACGATTGCTTTGTTATTCACCTTGTGACTGAGGTCAAAGTCAAAGTCAAAATCAAATCATTTATTTCAACTAAAATAGGTACTTTTGAAACGTCAAAATAGAATAGTAGTCTACCTGGCGGGCCTCCGTTTACCTCTCTCACGCAGCGTAACATAACGCAAGCGTTAGTTCACGCCGGTTTCAGTGGGGTCGTGGTATCACGCCTTTTAAGACGACCTAAAAGAGCCGAAGATTGCAGATTACAAGGTCCAGGTTTATCAGAGAGCGCTGATGTCCTGTGTCTATCCAATACGTTTCATCGGGTATCTGACACCCAGTGGAAGAGGTAAGCATGTAAAACATTAACCTTAAATGTATTCCACGCTACTATCACGGCATTGCTTTTAAATATGTTTACTTCGTTAAACGTTATGTATTTATACGGTCAATTACAATTTTAATGAGTATTAGTATAGTGTTTGTCACTTAAATACTTAGGTCTAGACTACACAATAATGAGTATTGCCTGTGTTATTCCACGAAGGACAAGGCAGAGTCCACCATCATCCTATAAGTGCCCACTGCTGAGCAAAGGCCTCTACTCACACGGAGAACTTGAGCATTAACCACCACGCTTGCTCAATGCGGATTGGCTATTTCAAACTTATAATTAGAAATTATAAGTCCAGGTTGGATCACGATGTTTTCCTTCACCGTATGTCAGTGGTGTCTAAATAATCATAGAAAGTACATATAAGTCATATTGGTACTTGCCGGGTTTCGAGTCCATACCCTCGTGCATAAGAAGGGAGAGTTCTCAGAAGTGCCAATTTTCACCAGTTTTTAAGTGTGGGAGAGAGCCATGCTTCGGACGAATGGGCCACCTTGATCGAAATGATACGGCCTCAATGACTATCAAAGATCACGTTGTGTTTCACTATGTAAGTTAACCTTACCTACGCCTAAATGCTCTTATTCTTATCCCCAAATCCCCTAAGTAACCCCCTCAAAGACTTGCAACTTCTCTGATGCTGCCAGTCTAAGAAAGGTTCGGCACCTTCTTTACTCATAAAAAAATATATTAAAAAACCTATTAAAGTAACTTCTTTAGAATTACAAGTGTCCATAAGAGGCGCTGATTGCTTACCATCAGGTAATTCACATCTTTATAGGCGACAAATCTGATAAAAAAAATGGACTTGACATAATTCATCGAATGTCAATGTCAATGTCAAAGCGTATAAACGTAAACTGTGAACAGCGCCATCTATTGAGTGAAAACAACAACAATAGCCGGTAGATCGATTTGACGGACAGTTTTTCGACATGGATAACAAAAAAACATACAAACAGCGTTTTCTCAATGTCCTGTATTCGTTTGCAATATTAAATTACATATACATACATTCGAAATTGCTACCGTATCCTTTGTTTCATCAATCATTGATCCTAATTATAAGTTACAAATAGTCGGTATAAACACTTAATAACCGCTGTTGATATGCTAGCAACCTAAGTGATTATAAATCAATTATACACTAGATAACAATTATGAGGACTATAGGTGATTTAATTGCTATCTCCAACCACAAAATGCCAAGCGTGGGGATTGTAATTAGTAACTTTCTATTAAAAGATAGGCTTTTGTTCGGTATCGAATATTCCATCCCCAATTGAATTGCCAAACGTGGGGATTATGCTTTGTTCAGAAGCGGATGGTGATGATGATAGCACACAGCTGTAACTACTCCGTGTACCAAGCTGTGTGACATGTAGTGGTGCTAGGGAGGTGTAAGGGAGCGCTGACAGAGGAAAAGTTGTTATAACAAAAATGAATAATGAAACTGATTGAAAAAGAGTAACCGTGGAGTTCCTCACTCTTTCTTCTCCATAGGAATCTACACTTTGGAACGAGCAAATAGCTTCACTAGAGGACAGACCGACAGACTGACACACAAAGTTCTTTTTAATGGAATAGGAGGCAAACGATTTGACGTGTAAAAGTGCCGTTTTATGGCCTATTTGCAAAAATAAATTCATTGTTTCAACGAACAGACGGATCACCTGATGGTAAGCGACCAGCGCCGCCCATGGATACCTGGCCTTTTAAGAAGGAGTTGGTACGCTCGCTTCTTGAAGGTTTGAAGGTCTTAGGTACTTTTTAAGGGGGAGGCCTTTGTCCAGCAGTGGACGTCTTCCGGCTGATGATGATGATGATGAGGTACTTTTTAATAAAAATTTTTGTCGTTCAAAAGTTATAGATATATATAGACGCGAATAAATACTTTTTCTTTCTTTCTCTCTATATTATTAAAGCTAAAGTTACGATGTCTGGATGTTTGTTACTCAATAACGCCAAAACGGCTGGACGGATCTGAATGAAATTTGGCACAGGCATAGGATACACTCCAGAATAGGACATAGGCTACTTTTTATAAACATATCACGCTGACGAAGCCGTAGTCGGAAAATAGTTTGAAATAAATTCTTGACATTGACATTGTCATTTTTTTCGGAAAAAGAAGGCATATTATTCGCGCGGCTGAATTACTAAGCTTTATATTTTAAATACCTATCACACGATTAATATATTATTTACTTAAAATAATAAGGTTCCGACCTAATCATGTTTGCCATTTTAATGTAGGTACTTGCGATCTCTTATTTACTGAGTAAATAAGTTTTATTTACTTTTCCAACTAAGGATGATCCGATATATTTATCTACATATCTAGTTATCCACATAGTATTTAGAAGATTACCTTCTATAAAGAAGTTTTTTAATTGTGGGAGAGCTATGCTTCGGCACGAATGGGTTTGAACGGAGTGATACCAGCGGCTTCCTAGAAAACCGGCGTGAAACAACCACAGCGTTGTGTTTCACCATGTGAGTGAGGCACAATCCTTTCCTATCTACAATCCCTCTCCAATCCCAAATCCCTAATCCCCAGGTCGGCAACACACTTCTAACTCCTCCGTTGTCCATCGGCGGCGCTGGTTGCATTACATCATTCAGCAGTGGGCACTTATAGGCTGATTATATTAAGAAGTTATTTTGATTTTCGTAAAAATAAATTACTTTTTTTAAATATAATTAATTGAATCTTCATTTCTCGATGGCCCAATAAGATAATGGGGTTTTTCGATAGAAAAATGTTGAAAAGTATATTGTAATATTCGGAAAATATCAACCCTTTCGCAGCAGTGGTGATCGCTAACTAAACAAATACTCGACACAGAGGTACTGGGACAGTCGTGCGAAACTAGGACTAACCGCTAGTATTGTATAATATATTTATATGTACATATATTAATTATATAAAAATAATTGCAGTTCGTTATTCTCAATAAAACTCGAGTACGGCTGGACCGACATGGCTTATTGTGGTCTTAAAATATTCCTGGATATTCAGGGAAGGTCGAAAGGTCAGAAAAAAAAATAGAAAATACATAGATTGTAACAAAAAAGAGTTCTATTATTTTAAATCATACTCTGTCAATAACTATCATTATTAAAAAATAGTTATTATCGTAAATTCGTTCAATAATCATGACTGTCTATAAATTTTTGAATAAGTATAATATGTTTTTTCACATTACTAAAATCTTCACAAATGCGTGTATAACGCAAAGAATCACTCTATATTATGTTGTTCAAAGTCGTATCAAAATCCGTTCAGTAGTTTTCGAGTAAATCGCTATTAAACAAACATTTGCTTTTAAAATTCATTTAAGTGAACGAAGCACAAAAAAAAATGTTACATAATTTCAATATTTATTAGGCCAATAAATATATAAATAAATAATAATTGAAGATGGCTTACCTATATATTTTTTTTATCACAGAATCACAAAAACAACTTATCACTTTGGCTACCAAATACCAACTGCTCGATAAATTGTCTGATACGTCAACGCGGTGCGCGAGCGCATGCCTTTTAACATATGAATAATAAAATCGATTTGTCTGACGTTACGTTTTTATGTTTATATGTATGTACAGGCTGTTATTTCGAACGAGAGACATATTCAAGGATCCGATTCTGGTTTTTTTTTAAAAAGGTAGGCAAACGATCAGTATATTTACCTGATGGTAAGCAATCAGCGCCGCCCATGGACACCCGCAACGGAGGAGTTACGATTGCGTTGCCGACCTTTAAGGGATTAGGGATTTGGAGGTTTAGGGGTGGAGAAGGGGAAGGATAAGCCTTCAGTAACCTCACTCACACGGCGAAACATAACGCTGTGGTGGTTTCACGCTGGTTTTCTCTGAGGCCGTGGTATCACTCCGGTCGAGCCGACCCATTCGTGCCGAATCATGGCTCTTCCTCTCTTAAAAATCTTCTGGTGCTCAATTACAACAACTTTTTTCATGGAACCAATATACAAATCTGAAAAAAAAAATATTTTCTTACACAAATCGTACCTAACAGCTTTTCTTTTTTTTGTGAGTGGAAAATCATCAAATGACATCTCCCGCCCAGGGCCGGCCGGGAGGGAGTGTCAGACTCTTACTGACTAAAAACCCCCCTGTTCCTACTCCTGCTCTGCGCCGAGGTCGCGGTGCGTCTTTGCGCTTACCCCGCAACCCCAGCTGAACATGAGCTCTACATATAGGGCCCTGTCTGTAGTGGTCTATTGGCTCTTTGAGGCGCGAGCGGAACGACTGATTGATAATTGATATTTTGAGATTTTGAGCACTAAGGTGCAGTGGTCCTTGCACTTGCCCATCGTTCATAAAACAGCATGATGTATAATATATGTCTGAAAATAAACTATGATCAAATCGTGTTAGATCAATTGAATCAAGGATCATAATCGTTTTATGGCACTATTTTATTGCAATTTTTTTTTGACATTGTTTTTAGCCGGATTTGGCTTCCGTGTCATGAGTGCATTTATAATTTTTTTGAAAACGGTCATTAGCCTTTTAAAATGCTACACAGCTTACGCTCTTGTAGCTACTCTAGGTTAAATTTTAGGACAAATTTAGTTTAAATAAATATTTAATGTCATGGATTTCCACAAAGTTACGCCTGATTCTATAAATTAGCGTTTTTTGTCAGGGGAAAATTGCAAAATATTTCATTCTATATAATAATATTAGTGTGCTTAGATCCGGTTTGTTTTTAATTACTAGCTAATGAAAAACCAAGTCTGTAGCTGAAAAAAATTGTTTGCAGTTTCATCTATACTACCTAATATTATAAAAGAGGTAAAATTTGTGGTTTTGTATGTAGGGGGTAATCTTTGGAACCGCTGGTCGGATTGCCAAAATTCTTTCACTGATAAATAGCTACAATGTTCCTTAGTGCTACAGGCTATAAAACATCACGCTACAATTAAATGGGGCCGAGCAGCGGGTGACACCGCGCTATTTTCATATACAGAGATGGGATTATTATATAAAAAAAGAATTTTAACGATTAAACTTATAATTAGTATCCAAAGGAACGAAACAATTAATTTTCACTTTTAATTAATATAAGCTGTTAAATTATCCAAGTATGGGAGAGCCATGCTTCATTATTTTATCGATGTTATTATAAACCTTACTGTACAATCAGTTTATCTATTAAAAATCGCCCTCAAAACCGTTGCGTAATTTTTTATGGTATAAATCGACAAACGAGCTGACGGATTACCTGATGGTAAGCAGTCGGCGCCGCCCATGGACACCCGCAAAACCAATGGAGTTACGAGTGCGTTACCGGCCTTTTGGGGATAGGGGTTGCGGATATAAGGATTGGGGAAGGGGAGGGATTGGGCCTCCGGTAACCTCACTCACACGGCGAAACACAACGCTGTGATTCTTTCACACCGGTTTTCTGTGAGGCCGTGGTATCACTCCAGTCGAGCCGACCCATTCGTGCCGAAGCTTGGCTCTCCCACACTTGATAAAATCCGCATCAAAATCCGTTGCGTAGTTTTAAAGATTTAATACATACATTGGGATATAGGGTCAGAGAAAGCGACTTTGTTTTTACCCGATTACGGCAAAGCAAAAGGATTGTTATATACTATGTAGTGATTATTAAGAAGTGGGTTTGAAAATACAATTTGAAATATCTAATATAATATAAGGAACAATAAAAATCGTTCTAATTTAGAATCTAAATCAGTTTATCATGACCTTGGAATGGTCTCAAATATAGATGTAGATTCTGTACAATAGATCAACGCGCTAAGAATATTAAATAGATGGTCTATGGTCATGTAATGTGAATGTAAACCTATAAATCCGTTGCCTAGCAACGCTATTAAATAAAGTTATGGCGTAATGTCATATTTAAAAAATCCTACCACATCTCTTGTCCTGGGAGTCTAATACTAAGGATATATGAGTACAAACGATATCAGTTTCTTTAAAAACTCATAATTTTAAGAATGTTGGCTAGCTAACAACTTTGTGTACATAAGCTGTGAGCCTATCTTGTAATCTCTATATATAAGAATCTATCGCAAAATGTGTTGGTAAGCGCATAACTCAAAAACCCGAAACTTTCTGCCCCGCACAGCAAAAACTTTGGAATGATCTTCCGGCGGCGGTATTCCCGAACCGATACGACCTTCAAACCTTCAACAAACGAGCGTATTCCTTCTTAAAAGACCGGCAACGCACCTGTGACGCCTCTGGTGTTGCGGATGTCCATGGGCGGCGCCGATCGCTTACCATCAGGTGATCCGTCTGCTCGTTTGCCACCTATTCCATAAAAAAAGAAACTTTAAATTGCGTACAACAATTTTAACAATCGTAAACTCATTTCGTCAATTTTATTCATCGTTTTAACGATTGACGATGACGTTGATCTTGTACGCTCGTGTTTGTGGGTCAAATGTCAAACTCCTGAATACGCACTTTCGATACTTAGAAAGCGATTTATTAAAAAAAAAAATTTTTTTAAAGACAATCTTTTATCAGCGTTGTTTAGCCGTGTGAGTAAGGTTTCTAGAGTCCCTATTCTTCCCCTGCCAATTCATCATCAGCCTATAAGTGCCCACTGCTGAGCAAAGGCCTATTCTCATACGGAGAAGGTTAGAGCATTAATCACCACGCCTGCTCAAGGCGGGTTGGCGATTTCAAACTTACAATTAGAAATTATATGTTCAGGTTTCCTCACAATGTTTACCTTCACCGTATGTCAGTGGTGTCTAAATAATCATAGAAAGTACATATTACTCGGAAAAAGTCACATTGGTACTTGCCAGGTTTCGAACCCACACCCTCATGCATGAGAAGCGGGCTCCTTAACCTCCGGGACAGCACGACATTTTTACCCCTGCCAATAGGGAATCTGAAACCCTTATCTCCAAAACGCCTTCAACTTTGATGTTGTGGATGTCCATGGGCGGTGATGATTGCTTACCATCAGGTAATTGTGCGTTGATAAGGGGTTTTAGAGTTAAGGAGATTGAGGAGGAGAAGGATTGGGTCTCCTATAACCTCACACAGTGGTTGTTTCACGCCGGTTTTCTGTGAGGCTGTGGTATCACTCGGAATGAAAGCCGCGTCTAGGCAAACGTATTGTAGGGCGCCTTCCAGCTAGATGAACTGGCGTTATCTATAAGGTAGCTGGCAGTGGTTGGATGAGAAGAGCTGAACATCGAGCTCAGTGGCGTGCTAATGGGGAGGCCTATGTCCAGCAGTAGACGACAACGGGCTGATGATGATGAAAATGTTTAATTTTTAGAAAAAAAAGGGGGCAAAAATCTCAGTAAAAATAACAACGGACCTCCAAAAGAGTTCCTAAATAATTGTAGGCTTAAGGTCATCGAAGTCAATGGCTGGACAATTTTAAATAGCGATTTTCTTTTCGGAATATTTTTGTTTTGTAATAATTTGCATTTTAAACATATTAATTGATATTGTCTGCTGACTATATTAATGTTAAACCGTGGTATTAATTAAACATGTGTTCCTGAAGTAATCGTTTTCATTTCTCATCATGATATTACACAATTGCCTTCGTGTTTTTTGATGGTACGTATTGTGACGATTCCTCTCCCAACGCTCCCCTACACCATTTTTTTTACTTGCAATAAACTAGTGCTTGACTGCGATCCCACCTGATGGTAAGCAGTGATGCAATCGTTGATGGTAAGGCGCACTAGTTTATTAAGAGCCTATTCAGTCTAGCCTTGAAGACACCTAAATTGTATTCGGACGGAAAGACTGCAGCCGGCAAACCTTTCCAATCCCTCGATGTACGCGGTATAAATGACGAGGCAAAACGCTTAGTTCGGGCCGCAGGTGTCTCAACAACGTAAGGGTGGATATTCGCCGTACGCCGGGATGTCCGAAGGTGAAACCTGGGAAGCCGTCTGCTCTTTCTGCGAAGCAGTGGAGGAGGAGGTGATGGGACTTTCCTCCTCGCGCCCCAGCCGCCGCAGTAGGCGACATTCCGGGCGTCGGGGATCGAAAGATGATCTCCGGCCAACGTAATAGCTGGTCTGCGGACGGCGAGTAAGAGTATCTCGCCGCCCGACCAGAAACAGACCCAAGCGTACGGCGCGTAGCGTTCCGCGCCTCAAAGAGCCAGAGCAGCACGTCGATTCTATAAAATTCGTTTGATTGTGAATCTTGTCCGAGTGAGAAGTGAGCATGGGAGACAAGTGACGGGGAAATTACACTATAGAATGCCACTTTTAACGTCATCTCATACTTTATCTATCAAAATGTTGCTGTCAATTTAGTTCAACTCGCAAGTGTAGCGCTAGTGTACTACTACTCACGGCGGATTCAGATTCGAAGTTTAGAATGAAGTCTTACAGAATCACACTGCAGGAGAAGGAACGGAGGGTTTAGTCAGTAAGAGTCTGACACTCTCTCTCGCCTAACCCTGGGCGGGAGAAGTCATTTGATGATTTTGCCCTGACAAAAAAGCGCTCCGCTACACCCCTAGCACTACCGCATGTGACACAGCTT